ACTGAGATGATTTGGTCCTGCCATATTCTACAGGATGATGCACTACGCGCATGAAAGCTGAAGCGACGATGTACAGAGCAAGATATTAAGTATAAAAAGTCAACCTGGCAGGATTAGGGACACGACGGTACCAGGTACTTGCCTTGCGCAATCTCAGGTGCCAAAGTCTCGGCATTTATTAGATTATCAGCGCATCAAACACTATTTTCTCGTTAACCGACTCCTCAATCCTGGGGATTCCGTGATGAGACCACCTCGCGCTGCTGTGATAACGCCGCTGCATCGATAGTTCAAAGGAGGACCTGTAAGTGCACATGGTCAGCACGTGCCAGATAATGTGAGAAGCACTACAGCGTGCTGGCGATCTGGCAGAGATGATTGCGATGGACAATAGCTCTTTACAAGCCATTATAACTACTGAAAACTCGGGAGGCAGATCCTGTATTGCTGGTCAACGTCAGAGCGCGGGGATAGAGTTCGTATTTCCCCGCATTGTTCTAGATTCGAGAGCGTGGCCTCGTTCCGCGCCCTAAAATACAGCAAAATCCCAGTTTTGTTCACTGAGCTCGCGTCACAAAGCTCCAAGACGTGGATTTAATTATCTTCCAACTCAGTCTACAGTTAATTTTTTGGCGTACCTCGTTTGATCGGCTGCAATGCATCGCCTCGAACGGACGATGGCCCGGTCCTTGTTGTGGGCGTATCGCCGATGTTTACCTCCTCCCGTGTACTGATCCGACGGCCTCTTCTATATCTAGCGGCTAATCCCAGGCATATTCTCAGTTTCTATTCCTTACCGTCTCGTTCATTATCACATCCATTATCACTATTCAGGCCGCTTGCGTCTTCCAGCACGTCTATGTCTACCGAATCACCCTCAGCCCCTGAAAGCAAAGACGCAACCGTGGTGCAGCCCGAACCAGCACCCGACACCAGAAGCCATACTGGCAAGCCGCCCTCGTTTGCTGGCTTGCGCGGCCAGAATCTTCTTTATGCCGTCACCTTCTGCTCTTCCGTCGGCTTTCTCTTGTTCGGCTATGACTTGGGCTTCATGGGCGGCCTCACCACGAACACGCAGTTCTTGAACGACTTTGGCAATCCCGGCGCAACGTTCCTTGGGTTTATCGTGGCCTCGTATGAGGTGGGTGCCACGTTTGGTGCCTTGTTTCAATATTTGATGGCAGACTACCTTGGCGGACGAAAGCCGGCAAATACCATGGGTCTCGTTATCGTCATCATCGGCGCTATCATCCAGACGACTTCATTCGGTATAGCCCAACTGATTGTTGGCCGCATCATCTCAGGGTTCGGCCTTGGAATTGCCACTACCGTTATTCCTATCTGGCTCGCTGAATGCACCGTCCCCAAATCGCGCGGTCGTATGATGGCCATGCAGCTGTCTAATCTCATCATTGGACTCATCATTTCGAACTGGCTCGTCTACGGTATGACCACGAATCATACTGGCTCCGTGCAGTGGCGCTTCCCAATTTCTTTCCAGGTTCTTTTGGCCGGTGCCGTCATTTCGTTTCTGCCATTTCTTCCCGAGTCTCCTCGATACCTTGCATCAGTAGGCAAGAACGAGGCTGCAAACTACGCTCTGGCCGCCCTTCGTGACGGATGGCCGGACGACGAGAAGATTGCATATGAGATCAAAGAGATTGAGTACGCGATTGCTGTGGAGTCTGAAGAGGTCGGAAGCTGGTCCGATGTGTTTCACGATAACGGAATCTCTGGATTTACCCGTGTCGCTATCGCCTTCTCTGCAAACTTCTTCCAGCAAATGTCGGGTGTCAACGTCATGTCCTCTCTCGGTCCTTATGTCTTTGAAGTCTCCATCGGAATGTCCAACCACAACGCCATGCTAGTGTCCGGAGGCTTACAGGTTTACTACTTTCTGTCGTCTCTTATTCCTTGGTGGACCGTCGACCGTGTTGGTCGCAGAAAGCTGTTTATGATCGGCTCAGCCGGCATGGGAACCTGTATGATGCTTTCAGCCGTCTTCGTGGGTGTCAACACAAAAGGTACGGGATACGCCGCCGCCGCCGTTCTTTATATCTTCCACACATTCTTCACGCTTGGCTGGCAGTCAAATATGTGGGTTTACCCTTCCGAGCTTTTGCCCCTGAAGCTCCGTCTTCGTGGTGGAGCTTTGGCCGTCGTGTCGCAGTGGCTCTTTACGTTCACCGTGGTCATGATAACTCCTGTGATGATCGACAACATCGGCTACAAGTCCTACATCGTCTTTATGATCTTCAACTATGTTACTATCCCCATCGTTTACTTCTTTTACCCAGAGACGTCGCAGAGACCTCTTGAAGTCGTCGATCTACTTTTCGCCGATAGAGAAGGCGGCCGACGACCGGCAATCTTCGAGGTTGTCAAGGATTCTGTGAAAAAGGAGTTTGTCAGGAGTATCGAAGATCAGCTGAAAGAAAACGCGCGCTTTCGATACGAAAACGAAGATGTGCTTGCTGAAGCAAAGGAGCAAGTTCATCATTTGGAGGGAGCTGAGTCGAATGTTTGATAGGTTGGAAGCAACGGAGTCTTGTGTTAGGAGTTTGTCTCTGGCGATCGGGGTTTTTGTATTCGGGAGTCTTCGCACCCCTCAGTGTTTCGCAGTTGTAAAGTCGTGTCATAAAATATAATTTTCATCAACGCACATCTGCAAATGCACAAGGCCATATAAATAGCTATAAAACATATGACAAACTACTGGGAGGGGCAAAAAATCAGAAGCTGATTTTTCTGTAAGCTACCGCCAATATGAAAAGCTCGCCCGGACGACGATTGAGCCCATCTAGCAGAACTTGGTCCACCACACCCATGCCTGCAGCAGCGAAGAGCTCAGTGGTGAGCAAGACTCTTGGAAAGTACACAAACCCTTCAGAGACAGAACTCCTCAAAACGCGGATGTCGAATGGGCTGGCAAGCTTGAGCGCAGAGCGATAGCAGAATGGTGTTGTCTATAGGAAGGATCACTGTCAACAAAGAGTGTAAAGAGACTTGTGATGGAATGCTGACTGCGCCTGGATCGCACCCTTGATACCGACTAAAAGGTTCCTGGGATCTTTGTGGTGGGTAGTCAGCGGGTAGCTCGGTCGGAATTCTGAATACAGCCTCGCGTTGAAGGTGGAGTATGGGAATAAAGCGATTGCATATATAGAAAGAGACTGGGCTCTGCGATTTCAATTCTACTCTGTGAAGTACAGAAAGAGATTCATCCCAAGCAGTAGCTAGCCAGCAGGGATATTGCACGGTTTTTGAAGTAGTCCGGAGGAGATGGCGGCATCATCATCAGCACGGAAGACGCAGATTGTAATTCTCCTAGCGACAATCGGTCTACAGACCTGAGCCGCATGCGCGCCATCAACCTCCAGCGGTAGTGTAATCATCGACAACGCGGAGATTCTGGAGGAGTGATAATAATACAGGATGGATGATGGATGATAGGGAAGTACAGAGGAAGTGTCGGTGCGTTATGGGATCAACATGTGTTTTCTACAGGAGAGGAGCGATTTGAAAAAAAAAAAAAGGTAGACACTAGCAATCAAATGCGGTTCAGACATGATCCCTAGTGACAACCCGTTGGTAATAATATTGATGAAAAGCAAAAACGAAACTGAAAAGATTTGGAAAGGGGTCCGACGAGGACTTGAAAAGCGTGATATACGCGCGGGAGAATCAAGCGACAGAGCCCAGTGAGTGATTCGCCTCCAGCTCTGCGCGATTAGGTGATTGTTTCTTTTTTTTTGGTATTTGGCGGGATCAAAGATAACCCTATTTCACAGAAAAAAAGAGAGGGTATTCCGAGCAGTACATTGCAGAGGCCATTGGTTTTAACATCCATAGGCGACCGTACAGCAGGGAAGATGGTGGTGCAGACAGACAGGTGGGTTACTTCTTGAGGCAGATACCAACATGTGGTGCGATGAGATGACTTCAGCAAGGGTTCCTGTACAATGGGTATAAGACAGAAACGAGGAGGGGTAGACCACTTCTCTCATCGGATGTTGGGGTATTAGCCTGAACAGTAGTCGAAGTATAGGACTCTTCTGGTTCGTTCCAGGGTGGATATATATGCTGCAGAAAGGGTGGACTAGAAAGTGCAACAAGGGTCAGTCGGAGAGTTGCAAAGTAAAACTAACAAGGGCATATACATACGTTGGCCGCTATTGTAGCGAAGCCTTGACCAGCGATTGAAAATCTTTATAAACAAAGCACGATCATAGGCAGTTAAAAACAGAAATCCGTAGGATGGTCCGGTGCCTAGCTGGTCCTTATGTTGCCTTTTGTCGATACGAGAGGCGAAGTTGTCGTAGACAAAGTCGAGCCCGTGAAATATCAGGGCGTCGTTGAGGCGGATGCGAGAGAGATCCACGTTAAAGACCGGGGATTGTATCACTTCGGGGATCAAGTCGTCGTCGTCGTGGGCGGCGAAGCAAGTGCTGGGCTGAGAGCGTCCGTAGCCTCTCTCGGTCGTCGGATAGCCCGCAAAAGCAGATTCGAGCCGCGGTTGCGCGTATGTAGGGAGATGTCGGCAGCGACGGTGCATGTAGAACGCAGCAGCAGTATGCGATGCACTGGAGGGGCGTGCTCCCCTCTGGCCGAAAACCATTGTTGAAAAAGCACGGGAAGGGTGGGTGTTGCTGAAGTTCTGGAAGTAGTGAGAGGTGAGGAAGAAGAGGAGAAGAGAGAGAGCGGCGGGAGAGCGGACTTTATATTTTCCATTGCCGCCTTGTTCAAACAAAGGCGGGCGGCCTTGTTGCTCGTAAGGACGCGTTTCGAGGTCAACAAGGCTTTTGTCACCTGTTAAATCATAGTCACGTGATTGATTACCGCTACGACACAGTGTTGTAGTAGTGTAGTAGTGTAGTAGTAGTAGTAGTAGCGCTCGTTCTGTTCTCCCTCGTTGGGTATCAGCTCTCCTGAACGTTTGGAGCCGCAACTGGAAAAGCAGAGATGGTCATCGAAAGCTCGCTTGCATTATTTCAGGGGTTCGTGTAGATATCTCTTTGTTCAATCTCCAACCGTCTTTACAAAACTCAGCTCAGATACAAGGCCGCCCTTGTTCGAACAAGGCACAGATGGTCAACACATAAGGCTTCGCTCATTCCATTCATCCCCATTCCTCTTCACAGCTCACTACTTCGTCACCTCAGCAGCCACCTTCCCCGTTTCCCTACCCAAACAATGGCTGGCGGCAAGAAGAAAACACGATCTCTTGAGCATCACAACGTGCTGCTGCGAGCTTCAAGCACGATAGCCGACCGAATCCAACGCACACCTCCTCACTCGCTCTCTTTATCACAAAGTAACTCGATGGCCGAGGGAGGAGACAACGGACGTCATCCGCCCCGCGATCGCGACGAACACTACGACAGCGGAGCACAACGGAAAGATCACATCAAAGCTGGGCAACGGATGGATCGCAGGATCGAGTCCGGGTTTTTATTCCAGACTGCCTATGGTCGTGCTTTCTGGAAAAGATTTTCAGTCGCTGGTTGTCAAGGCTTCGCTGTATAGCAGCCAACGTCAAGAGAGAAGTAGTCCACCTCGACTGTATATCTGTCATATGCCATTGTACAAGATACCCTTGCTAACGTCATCTCATCGAACTAGATGCTGGTATCTGTTCAAGAAGTAACGCTACTGTCTGTCTGCACCCTTCTCCCTGCTGTACGGGCGTCACTGAATGTTTAATCCTTGGCCTCTGCAAAGTACCAACTCGGAATACCCTCCATCCTTCTCTGTGGATCAGCCTTATCTTTTATCCCGCCGAAAACCGAAAAAAGAGATACCGACTCTCGCAGATCTGGAGACGAGTCATAATTTCTCAGGCTCTGCCGCTTGTTTCTCGCGTGTGTAATAGCTCCTGTCGTTCTCAATCGATTGATCGCTTCTTTCAGTCTCTAGATTCTTGGTTTTGCTATTCGTTTTGTCTCTTTATTCGAATTTTAAATATATCGGGAGTCAGTGGAGATCATCTCTTCATGCCATTTGATTGCTGGTGGCTTCCTTCACCTTATCTATATCTCCTGTAGCCGTCTTTGTAGATCGCTGTATAATACCGCAGCATTTAATCGACGCCAGCCTTTGCTCTTATAAAAATCCATCAATACTCAATGACATTCTGAGAAGAGCTGCATGTCACAAGGTTTGTCAGTGATTCCTTGTGTAGTTCTCTGCTCTGGAGCGCCATAAAATAATTCACACTAGTGGTGTCCTCAGCGCTCAGCTCAAGATGCGACATTAGCAAGTTAATGGTTTCTAATATCAAGATTCATTTTAAGTTATTATTTATTCATAAGTACCGGTCTAAGTCTCCAGAAGTGCGCAAAGCAGTGCTTAAAGTCGCCAAAAGTTGAAGAAGTGGTGGGACTGGGATTGCTACAAGGCAAACCCTAATTATCTGAGACCATGCTCTCACTTCCCAGCAACTCTCTCTTGTTCAAGAACAGCTTGAACAGCGCGAGGTACCGTCGCAGCAATAATATATCGTGCATGATTTAATTCAAACAACGAATCTGCCTGTATGGATATATTGTTGCCGGCTTTACGAATACAAGAGACTGGAAAGGAGAGGCCGGCGGCAAGGAGAATGACTATTTTGCTAGTTTCCGGTCAACAAGGCTTCGGCTTGCACAGCAATCACGGCCTTCCTTCCGTACCTGACGAAGCCACTCTTTGCTCTTTATTTTTAGCTACCATGTGCGGCCTCCTGCCTTGTTTGCTCGCTATGCCTGGTTATAAAATGTACGTCCCGCGCCCTTCTTTCCTTTCCTACTCTCTCCCCGCTTCATAATATCTTTCCCTTTCATCAGCATCTCGTCCCCAACCTTCGGCTCTCGCAATGACCATGGCTCCTTTTGATCTTCATAGTGAACAAGCTGTTTTTGGTCTTCTTTTCTCTTCCATTTTTCTCGATCCTGTGCCGCCCACGGAAAGTCCACCAGCGTACGAACCTGTTCAAGGACGCGAAGTCATAGACCACTCGAACCCCTTGATCCGTTCGTTCGTTCGGCGGATTCCGCTCCCTCCCGGCTCACACAGCACGTTGGAGTCTTTTGAACTCCACCTCCCACTGGTCTTGAACGATTTTTTGAACCGTCAAAGATCTCTCACCCGACAGGCCTTGGAACGCATGGTCAACACGCCCTATCCCGAGCGGCTTTTGAGTAAAGAGGGCTGGCGCTTAACTCATGAAAACATGTCCACGGTCACCTTCTCGTCTCTGTCAACAAATACCAACGGTTCTTGCCCTTCGTTCGAATCCGTCCCCTTCACTGCAGTGGCAGATGGTCGACTCAGCCTTCGCCAATTGGGCTCTGCTTTGACGACCTTGATGCGCGACTACGAGCGTGTCAATCATCTCAGTCGCTGGTACTCCATCTATCTCACGATCGACCTCGACCACAGACAGATCAGACAAGAATGGGTCGACGCCGCTCTCCTACACCATCAATTATCTCTGCTTGGAAACACGCTCATGCGCGAAGATTGCGAGCGTTTCTTGGGCAGCCTTGCTAGAGTCGATCAAGTCGGCAACGGCTACAAGCTCAGTGTTATCGTCACCCCTTCATTGAACAAGTCATACTTTGAGGATGAGCTCGTCTGCCCTGAATATGCTGAGAGCGTTCCGGAACATGGATACCGAAGAACCCATGCCCACGGCGGCTTCACTGTGTTTTCGGATGCATTGGAGCGCTCCTTATCCCCCAACGATCATTACAATATGTTCCGGGTGTGCAGAGTGATAGTCTGGTTCAAAATTTTAACGCCAAGTCAGCGCAAAATGTTCCAGATGCTGTACGATGAGATGAGAGCTGTTTCTACATTGTGCACCCAGAGCACGCGCCTCGGTCTTATGACCCGGAACATCAACAGACCCCAGTTGAAAATAACGAACAATTAGGCGCTGGCGGATCTCCTTTGTCTGTGAGCAGTCAGGTTAATCCAGCCAAGCGCGTCGCCGACACGGATGCAGATGCAGACCTGCGCCCAGTGAAACGACGACGACTGCGCTTGT